AAATTGTAAAATTTGGCTTTAACAATAATGCAGAACGAATACCTCGTAACATGTCACAATCCTCAGACATAAGGCTGAAATTCTGCAGTAAGATCTTTGTTAGGCTTTCAATAAGCTCAATCAGTTATGTTCTTAATTTTTTTCCTCCTAAGGTTTTACGTTATCTTCTCGTGTAATTGGCTATCTTCGCATTATTTACTTTAATTCAGAAACGTAAGTAGTCTGAGCTGCATTTAAGTATTACAGTTCTCAACTGCAATATATGCTGAATCCTGCCGAAAGTTTTTATTATTGTCGAAAACATTTCTCGTCGTTTCGAAATCGCTTTTGGGCTGTTAGTTGTCCACCATGACTCCAAGATCTTATGTTTATGGATAAGAGGAAGTACTAAGAGGCTGAAACAGATGATTGCCCCTCTCTAAACAGTTAGTTTTGAGGATATTGGTGGCTATAGGACAGTTGTGTACTGCCGGATGTGTATTGATGGCTATGGGCTAGTTGTGTCGTAAGTTTGTGACACTGTCACACTATGAGGTGTACTTTCTTTTAAATTCAGCCCCAAGTTGTCATTCCAAGAAAATGTAAGGTTGTTATTATTTAGCATGATCACTTATTTTATAATTTAAGATCTTTCCGTTTCCTCACCAGAATACAAATTAGATTGAGTATTTAAGCTGAGGTCTTTTGGTTTTAAGACAGATCGCGTCTCTGATAGTGCGTGTGCACGTTATGGTCAGCACTGATAGCCTGAATTACTCAGGTTTGCATCATTGCTACCGAATATCTGAATATTTACGACGGTTAAATTTGTGAGTGAACTTCGCATTTAATTGAATTGTGTAGTCCTTGACTAGCAGCAGTCAAACTCTACGTTTTTGCTTCGAATATCTCTGTTTAGACGCCAGTATAGAGTTTGACTTTCATTGGTAGCGCAAACTAGTGCAAATCTCCTAACAGACTTGTAGCGATTATCACTGAGTCAGAAGATAACGACAAATTCTTGAGAAGGTTATAAAGTAACTTTTTTTATTAAATCAGAAATGTAATAGAAGAGGACGTCTTGTGCTTAACAAACTCAACCAGCACTTATGGAGGTAAACTAAAGTAATAATCAGTTAAACATTTAATAAGCTAGTAGTCAGCTTAAGTACTCGATCTAATTTTCCTTCTCGTAAGAAAACTGAAAGAGAAGCGACAGTAAAGATCTAAATCATAAAATAAATGGTTATGCAAAATAATAATTACATTATAGAAATTTTAGTTATTGTGTGACAATTATGTTTTAAGTTTTCTGTTTAACTTGGCTAGTCGCAACACCATTTTTGGATCATACGTCCGGCTTGTGCCTTCTGGGAGGATCGGGGCTGCGCCCTTATTATTATAATGATAATGATAATGCACAGTGGCTACATCCTTCCCAAACCTTTCTGCAATGTCGCAAAAAAAAAGTCACTTTCTCGTACCCTTATCTCACGGTCTCGTTCAAACTCAGTAAGCTGCTGATACTGCCTTCCTCGTCTCCTTAATGGTATTTCTGACTCAAATCACTTTCACATCGTCTATTCCGGAAGAGAAATATGTCACATAAATTTAACATTGCGCATTTAAAACACACATAAATTGCATGTTCATAGTGGCGCTACTAATGCCACATTTATTCATATAGTACAACGTCTAAATAAACGTCATCTTTCAGCTAAGCAAACACGCCTGTCAAATTTCACTTATTTACCACAAGTTCTTCTTGTGTTTGGAATTCATTTTGCATCAGCATCGCATATAAAATGTATCCCGAAGACTGAATAGTCATATTATTGATTGTTGTGGGAAAAAGTAGATTCAAAAACCGGAAGCAAAACTCACCAGTTTTTATGCTTTCTTTATTTTTTCTTCCAAAGATAGGTCCAGGTGGATAAAGTCGCAGAGTTTCCTGAAATTGGACATATTATTTATAAATTATACCCGAAGAAAAACAATATTTCAAAATTTAATATAATATAATTTTCTTATCATGTCAAAGAATTAATAAATTTTGTTATCTGGTTCATTCGTCATGTCCAACGAATATAACACTGAAAACATTACTTCTGTACAAAACTATTAAAAATTTGCACCATGCAAAGCAGGAGCAAGTGTAATCCTTGTTTTGTGTTGATTTATTTCAACATATCATCGTTTTAATGACGAAAAGCATGAAGCAAAGCTTTTTTAAACATTTGTAACGAGGTGAGCAAGATTTTTCGAAAAACACGTATAAAAAAATAGTGTTTCAGCTGTAGGGTAAAGCTGTGTTATACTTTGCTCACATAATCACAAAAAATATTTACTCGATATAATAGTACACCAAATTATTTTTTATATTAAGGGGGCTGTATACCTTAGAAACCGAGATTTTGTTCAAAAAACTCTTTTTTTTTTTCCCCTTACGCTCGTTGAAAATTTTATTTCTTATGTTTCCAAACTGTTTAAATTTTGTTCCTACGTTTGTTTAACTGAACGTCATTGTTCATTGAACGTCATTTGTTTAACTGAACAAAATTCAAACAGTTTTGGAAACATAAGAAACAAAATTTCAACAAAAATTTGTCCTCAAAAAGCATACCGGAAGTGCGCCAAACGTACATATTTAAAATGCGAAGTGGGTGTGTCAGGGTTTACTTTTATTTTGGGGGCTTAACACTTTATTCAATTGCATTTTTAAAGACCAAAAAATATTTTTATGATATAAAATATTCTTTATTCTATTATTGTCCATATGTTTGCATGGAAAAACTCAGAATGCAAACGAGAGCTTTAAGTGTGTTATTTGGCAAAGAATACCAGAAGAAGTTTTCGTATGCCTAAAAATAATGAAATTTGGAGTATATGATGTCTTTATACAATTCCACGATAGCTATAGAGACTCTTTTAATATCTTTAGAAAATTAGGTATAGATATTGGTTACTACACTGAAACGAGTATGGAAAGTTTGATGTTAACCGTACTGACAATGCAAAACGACATTCCCTGATTGGCTTTAAAAAGCAGAGAAAAATTTTAAAAGTTGTAAAAAAGCAAAAACAAATGTAAATTCTGAAAACAAGAGGGTATAAGTTATAAATCAGGGGAGTTTTAAGTTTACAAACTGATTAAAAGTAAGTAATCGAGTGTTTGTATTCTTTAAATGCGTTTATCTCATTTTTCATTTTTTGTATTTTAATGCTAATAAGACCACAATACCACAATACAATTTTAAAGATATTACACAATATCTTTAAAAATTATTATTGAAATCCTATGAAATTTGGTATACATATTTCGAATATTTTATGTAAGGACACAGATCATTTACTACTTGATAAATGTATTTTTTATAAAATTATTATATGTTAAACATGAATTTTAATGAGAAATATTTTTTTTTTATTACCATTCTAGCTTATAAATTTCTAAATAGCTTCCCAGCTTTAAACTAAAAGTCTGTCTTCTTGAAAATATCTGATGAGTTTTGCATTTTACAAATATGAAAATATACTACCATTTTTTTATCACATGGTTTCTAATTTATTGTAAACTTTGCTGTTTTTTGTTGTTCCTACTTTACTCCCAAAATAAAATTAATGGTCTCAAATACTCATCTTCTCATTTTGTTTTCACATATTTTTTTAAAACAAAAATAAATGTACAAATTTAAAATAAAAAAAGTGTAAAGGTACAGGGGGTTGGACAAAAATATGGAAACCCTTAAAAAAAAATGTTTTTCTTTTCTTATATGGTGTAGGAAACCCGTTGGCATCCAAAACAGCTTGCAGTCTTCTCGAAATGGATAAATACAGTTCCTGTAATGTTTGCCAAGGAATATTATACCATTCTTCCCTGCAAAACGGTGGCAAGTTCAGATAACGATGTTGGCGGGGATCGAGAACACACTTTCCGTTCGAATGCGACCACAAAGGTTCGATAATTTCACGTCTGGTGACTGGGGCCAGGTAGAGGGACCCATCCTCGTGCCAGAAAACCAGTCCTGGCATGGAGCTGTGTAACAGGGCTTTGTCGTCTTGAAGACACCATCACCTCGGGGAACAAAGTTTGTACCATGGGTGAACTTGAATCGGGCCAAATGTTCAATAATCTGGCAAGTCATGTGCCCTGACCATTATCATGGGCTAACAGAGAACCCGATATGGCTGCCCAAACCATAACAGGCCCCCGTCAAGTTTCACTCTTGGCAACAAGCAGTCGTATTATAGTCTTGAGATGGCGTTCCCAGACTAACTCGGCCAGAAGTGGAAACAAGTGAAAGAATGACTCGTCGACCATATTACTCGCTTCCACTGCTCTATAGTCCAGGCCTTTATGACCTAAACACCACCTTTTCCTGTTACGTGCATTAGCATCACTGATGAGTGGCTTCACAATTGCAGCACGGCCAGCAATTCCCTGTTTATGAAGCTCCCTTCTAATTGTTTTGGTACTCACAGGGTTCAGTAACACAGCATTCATTTCAGCAGTAACTTTTGCAGCTGTGGTCTTCTTATTTTTCGTCACAATTGCCCTTAATGATCGCCTGTCACGATCACTCAGGACACACTTTCGTCCGCGCTGTGATTAAGCTTCGATACAGTACCTCTTGAAACACTAAACACCTTGGCTACCTTGCTTACGGAAGCACCTCCATCGTGCTCCAACAATTTGCCACGTTCGAAGTCTGTTAACAACTCTGACATAATGCAATGACAACCTCACTTAACAGTACTCCGACACAACTGAACTGTTTAGCACTTTACGAAGTTGTATAGGTGGCGTCAGTAGTCAAAACGCCAGCGGCACCTACCTATTCATTAAAATCAATCTTTCTTTTCAAACATGCATTTCACAAGGTGTTTCCATATTTTTGTCTATCCACTGTATATAGCCCCCTTAAATCCTAATGTTAAAGTAAGAAAAGAAAAAGAACATTTTTCAGTTATTATTGGTGAAACAACCATTTAATACAACAAATATTTAATTCACTTTTTATATCATAAATTTAATAGTATTTGATTTAATTTACCGAAAGCGTTATTATTTCAACGCATTCGTGCATTTATTTGCCTGTATCTTTAATTTATTAAGTTTAATTTAAATAAAGTGAACCAATATAGTTATGAGAGTCAACCCGTCAGTGAGTTATTTATGCCTGAATGCCCACCTGTTGGGGATTTGGTTTTCGGTATGATCTTTGTATTTCACTAGCGTGCATAGCTGAATCCACGTTAGTTGGAACCATGTTAACTATTTGAACTATACTTAATTAAATGTTTTAAATTCTAATGTCCCGCAAACAGCAGTGATTATTTTCAAGTAAACTTTATTTTTACTGCAATATGTAACTTTTAGTAAAACATTTAATTACATTTTACTTCTTGTCTGTGTATATGTAGTTATAATTTCTATCATAATGAAGATGAAAATTTATCCAACGAAGGCCACAAATTAATGTAGTTATAGCTAAAAGGGAACAATTTTTATTTTAATTTTATTTATGCTTTATTTACATTACATTTTAGGTAATAAAAGCAGCGAAAACATGGCTAATGGAATGATACTATTATATTTTTAAAATTATTCTACCTTAATAACGTTTTCTAAATATACCATCTTCTTCATATCTTCATTAGTAACTTCCGCTGTCTTGTTTTTTCCAAATATCAAACATTGCTCTTCATAAACATTATTTTGGATATCAGGATGAAGACCAAGTAGATAAAGGACCCAAGTTACAACGATAGCTGATGTATCATGTCCCTAATTGAAAAGCAAAAAATATATATTATTAAAAATCAGCAAAACCTATAGTTTTCATTTTACCTAGTTATTACTCTAACTGAAGGAGCAAAATACTGTGACTTATTTTCCAATGCATATTTATTTCATGCAAGATAAATTATCAAGTATAGAACTGAAGAGATGCATCTGTTAACCACTCAATGTGCCTATCACCAACTCAGTGCGTGTGTGAATGCAGGAGACCAGATCCTTAGATCTGCCGTTATTTTGCATTGAAAAAACAAAACTGGGGAAACAGTAGCTTTATTGAAGCAAGAAATATGTGCTGTGTCCTCGCTGGGATTCGAATTCTTAACTTCCGATTGTTAGCTGGACGTACTTTCAATTATCCCGCTAAAACACGTGATAAGAAGGGACGACTACTTGCAAATTAAAGCATAGAGTGTTTAAACTTTAAAAACTTTAAAAAACTTTAAAAACGTGATTGAATAAACGATTTTTTTCATGTGACAATGCACAGTCGAAAATGAAAGGAAAGAGGCGCTTGATGGTGAACAGTCAAGCAAATGGCGTGCAACACAGGGGTGACACAGAAATGAAGAAACAATTTTAATCTCAAATTACATTAATTTTTCGAAAGAACAACTAGCAATACATAACGGTGACGGATGGACTACTATCTTTTCAGAACATACCAGATTATAGCCAGTATTTGCATTTTTATATCTGTATCTGTTTATTTTCAAGGAAACTCTCATGGCCGAACCCTCGAGATACCACATAAAGAAATTAAAACGCTATAACTCGCATAAAGAAATCAAAACACGGCAGATCTATCAAAGCATTCGTCGGAAATGGGCCAACCTATAATTCCTTTAACTGTCTCATTGCCGAGAACGTTGCAAGGGGTGCGCCAAGAGCCAACCGAAATACTCCCGCGAGAATCTTACAGGAAATTACGGCACTTCCACCGTTGAGTTAAGAGGAACATCTCTGTTTTCCCGTCAAACGTGCGCTTATTCATCGCATCAGAAGTTTCAGTTGAAGCACATCTATATTTGAGGAATACCATTTTCTGGGAAAGCAAATCTCTCAAATTTCTTTACTTTTCAAATTCAGTCATACATTCAATAAAAATCAGTATTTTCGTATATTCTATCTCGTCTTAAAGTTTGTCACTTTGTAAAGATCTTAGTTTTTATCAAGCAATTATTTTTATTTTTCGAAACTTCCTTGCGGGTTTACTCCGAGAGTGAGTTTATGCCGTGAGTTTGCAATCATCTCTGTAGTTGGTAATTGTGCTAGCCACTTACTTTTAGATTATCTGATCTTTTACACTCGGCTTTGCTGTGTGCATCCGATAAATCTGATATAGATTGAAGTAGGAGCTAGTCGTGTAGTTGAAATTTGATTCATTCTGATTATGTATACCATTTTGTGTCTGAGTTACTTATCCACAAATTGTGATTAGTTGGTGAGCACCGAGTATGTGCATGTACTGCTAAGTTTAGTTAAAATTAAAAGGTTGTTATAACCTTCGTCGGCAGTCATCTGTTTTTCAAGACATAGCGAAAATTCGCCATCTCGTCTTCAGTAGGGTCTACTTTTACGCTCCTTAAACGAATAAGAATTTACAATGACACGTTTTTAACCACTTATATGCTTAACGTTATTCGAATCTGACGATCAGTTATTAAAATTGAATGTAGACTTATCAATAAGTAATGTAGTCTATTCGAATTAAACCTAAACACTTTGCGTCGAAATTAAACCTAAGACACATAAACGCAACCATAAAATTAGAAACTCATATTAGAAGTTTTTTTTTTAAACCACTGTAGAAATTTTGGTTAATCTATTCCACAAATCCGTTACTTTTTGTAGGTAGTATATTTGTAGGTAGTATTTTGTAGGTAGTATGTATTTATGTTTTTCTTAAGTTGCTTGCTTTAAGCAGAAAATAAATGAAATATATAAGATTCTTTTCTGACAAAAAGAGATTCTCCATCATGGCGAGAAATGAATTTAATGTTTGCATAAAATTGTAACCAGTTTTTATCACCTTACTATAGTATCATTTCTACTATTCTTTGAAGTACTGTTGTGTTCTAATACAACTATTTTATGGGCAGCTCAGAATTTCATTTTAAGTAGCAAATAACCAAACATATTACGATGGCATAAGCAATTATTTTTATCTTTAATGCTTTTAACTACTTAAAATTTTAAAATTACCTCCAATTAATAATTTAAAATGTTGTTTCACATACTTTATTATAAGCGTAGTCTCGCCGCAGTAGCTGTAAATCTGCGCCCCAATGTTTACGGAAAACACCACAGGATGGCCCAACGATATCTCAGCCTTCTTCCTCAACCATAATTACTCAAGAAGGATTTTGCCCCTCGCCATATATTTTGAATGCCTCCCTGCCTCAACAGGATCCGAACTATAGCCCACCGATACAGCAACTAGGAGAAGATGCCCATCTGATCGCACATACCGGTAATATCTTAATTACAGTGGTCGGCAGATCTAATGTTGCAGATACAAAGCAACGTTGTTTGTTCACCTTTCAAAACTGAGAAATAGGCACAATTTTCAAATCTCTGCTTCAAAATTCAGAGCAATGTCAGCCAACGGCGAACACTGAAACAATTCCCAGCATCAAAATCATGGGACAGCCTATTTAATTCGATTCCAATGTTAAATTTCTTCGTGTCGCAAGAAACAGGCACTCCGGACTTCCATACATACGGCAGATTAAAAACATGTACATGTACTATTCTAATGCAAAATTCAATGTTGAGTACCTCACCTGCAATTTGGGGGCTCCGCATTTGCTCAAGCTCTGGTATAAAACCGTCACAGAGCGAATCGTAACAAATATAGTTGCGGCTTCGGGCAAAGGAGTTGTTAAGCAGGAGGAAAAGCTTCTAAATACCATCCAAAGAGCAAATCTCCTCCGGATCACCAGAGCTTGCAGAAAATTTCTACAGCACCCATGCATCTCTTTCTTACTACCCCTAAACTTAGTAGTGGAGAGAGAGAAAGCTAGGGGCTGTCACTACTCACGGAAGGACTCTGAACAGGGGAAGTTCTGAGAAGTCTGTCATCCCCCAAAATTCAGCTTCTTAGAAAACTTCAGCTGCCATTATATTTTACCACCATGGACAGAAGCATCTTTAGGTACGTGGCTCCAAACTGGACAGAGGCACTGAGAGATATCTGCATGTGATACACAATGAACATTACAGACTTATAGAGTCGACGACTGGGCAAGCACAATTCGTTTTCCAGACAGCACTAACGTGCTGCGTATTGCAGTCCCGAATCAGCATCAATCCCAAACTCTCTAGAAAGGATCTTCATAGATTCAGCATCAAATTTCATGGTAATTTACAACTTTCCGTCACAAAACAACCTTTACATCTACCTTTACCAATAAGAAACTCTTTTCTGAGTTCCATCACACGTTAAGAATCGAAGCCAATGAATTTCCTGGTCAAAAGGCCAAAGAGAGAGCCTTCTCTGTCGAACGTCCAGAATTCAAACTTCTCCTGTTAATCTCTTGACAAAAAGGGCAACCCTTATTGTAACAACAGCAGAGCAGGTAGAGACACAATGCAGCAAGCAGAAAGACCTTCAAACTTATTCCAAAGGTGTCAACCGACCTTCTCTGAAAATCTGCAAAAATCATCTGATTTCTGACCTTTCATAGCTCCAACACTAACACACTTAGAAACATTCTGCTGCAGTGATAGAACTTTTGTGATTGCGGTAAAAAGGAAACAGAGAACTAACTCTATGTCTTTGAATGCCTGTACAAAAGGAATCGCATCCATACAAACTGGCCTCTCATAATTGTCCACACTCAACCAAAAGTTTCAAAAACTCGCAAGAACACTGACGCAATGTCAAAGAAAGCCACGTCAGCATCTCAGCATAGCGAAACAGCTCAAAAGCTGGAAACGCCTAAATATTATACTCTACAAATAAACATCAAAATAGTATTATTTATGTATAAATGTCGACTAGTGTTAAGAAATCTTCAATTCATAACTTCTGAACAATACGAATATTTTTATACTACGAAAAATGTTTCAAAATTCAATAAGCAACCATTGCAATTTTATGGGGATGGTTTGTTTTGGTTTATTTCGTTTAACAAAAGGCACTAGAACTATCTGCCTAAACGAAGAAATGCCTTTCTGAAGAACTTTCTATAGGAAACTGGCTCATATGTGCGTTTTCCTCCCACATAGGAAAAATCCATGAAAACGCCTATGCAGCCAATCCGTTCAACAGGAAGTGAAGTGAGGATGGAAATACGAGTGATAAGCGATTTAACAGTTCGGCTCCTGGTTAGCTGCTTAATGAGGATTGGTTTATGTGATTACGGCAAACCATCGACGGCTATCTGCCTAAGGAGAGGGATGTCTTCGTGGAGGAGTTTCTAAAGGAAACTGGCTCGTATACACGTTCCACATGGGGAAGACCAGCTTTATGAGGAAATCATTGTGCATAGACTTCAGATGTGTAGTATTAAAATAATCAGTTTCACGTGAAAAGTTTCAAAATTTTGTATAGCATATTACAATGAGTAAAACTTTTGTATCATGAATAGACATCTGAACTGGTTTATTGTATTGAATTTGTAATTTTTGCGTCATGAGACATACACTCATAAGTAATGCCAAGAAACGCAGTGTGTCAAATTAGAATATATTCTAAAATTATTGTTAATGTGTTACTTGGTTTTTCGTGTAAAATGCAATTCAATGAATAAAACAGCATTAAACAATAGTAAAGAGCGCTTTATTTGCAAGAAAGTGTAGAAACAGTATTAAAATGAATACAGTGTTAGGAAACTGTTAAAGCGTACCTTTTGTACAATGTAGAAATTATTAAGCAGTGAATTTTAAGTGCCGAAATTGCATTTGTTTTGGTTTATTAGATTATGACAAAGCACGCTAAAACTACCTGCCTATGGAAGTAATGCGTTCGTGGAGCACTCTCTAAGAGAAATTGGCTCATATCAACGTCACACGTGAGCAAATAACCCGGAAAACACTCATACAACCAGCCCTTCTCCTAGAATCGGTCTCATTTGAAAACTAGTGTTTAGCGACTTTCCTCTCGGCCATTTTTTTATTGCCAAAATATTGTATAACATGTCATTGTGTAACGATGAATCATGAATTGGTAAACAGTGTACTGAGTTATTATAATTCATAGTTATATCATAGTGAAGTTTGGCCACCTCTGCAATATGAGGTTGAAAGCTACAAATTTCTCCCATATGTAACTTAATAAATAATAAATAATAAAAAATGAAACAAGATGAATAACTGAGGAACAATGTTTATTCAATTAGCACACTCGTAGCGAAGTACGACTTTTCATAGTTATAAATTCATCTATCACTTTTTATTTACAATTTTCATCGTTTTTCAAAAAATATCAGTTTGGGCCCTTTGGATTATTTCCGTAACCATACAAATTCTCCCATACAATTTTCACAATTCCAACCATACAATTTTCACAAATTCTGTCCAATCTGAGTTAGAATTCATATTTGAGTCTGGATTTCAGCATTTTCTGATCTATGGCTTCACCACAGCTTAATGCATTTAGTTGAATTTGCTTCTTTTGGTATTTCATTCACTAAATTTATTTAATGTTTTTCATTTTTGAGGTTGGACTTAAACCAAGTGCTTGGCTTTACTTTTTTGTTAAGAACAGAACCAGACTAATATTTTAACCATTTAAGGACCGAGTCACGTTAGCGAAAAATTCAGCTGACTGAATTTGCTTAATTTGTAAAAATTCGTTGATCAAAAAAGTTTCGAAAATTGACTTTGCTAAATTGTTTATTATGTAATTCAGAAGCATGATTCTTCTGTTTTATTTCATGACACCAGTCTCCTGAAGAGATGTTACGAGATATGTAACATTACTTCCTTTTTTTTGCTGTCCTGTACGTTTTAGTTTCTACTTCTATATAGAAGTATATACATATATATATATATATAGAGAGAGAGAGAGAGAGTGAGGGATGTGGAGGTTATTAAAACTAAATTAATTACAAAGTTATTATACTTAGTTTAGCTTATTAGCTTTTACAGTTTTCAGATTTCAAATTATAGTTTTTCCATCTGTTTCTTTTTTAATTTTGCAGAGTGCAAGTTTAAATTTCAAACCAATTATTTTATGTTGATATCCTTTCCTATTGCTCTCATTTCCATTTTCCTGTCAGAATATAAATTTAGAACTACCGCGATATTTAAATAAGATAGAAGAAGGTAATGTTTAAAGGAAGGTTTTAGAGGGTAGAATTAGATCGTGCTTTGCCTGCTTTAAGACCACGTCGCTAGTTTAATCTCTTGCTTGTCTTGTATTCTTTAGTGTTCAGTTATTCTAACTTTTATTCTTATTACGCCTACCTTAGGTCAGAACCAAGCTTGCGCGTTATTTTAAGTGTGCAGCCGTTAGGCTAACTTGCTTTCTTAGTTTTAACTAATCCATTATTTTGTGTTAAGTATGATTAAATATATTAGTGCATAACTGTTGGCATTTGTAAGCACAAATTGGTGTCGTCTGTTAAACTTTTATTTGATTTAAATGAAAGTGTCCTTTAAAAGAAATTATTTGCATCTTTACAAAATTAATAATATATTTTTTTACCAAATTAATATATAATTATATATCAGATTTAATTTTGAATTTTTCTCATTTATTACCATTCTAGTAATTTTTAATACAGGAGTAAAGCTTTTATGTGTCTTTTTAGCGAGCGGGGATGAAGTTTAAAATTATTAGTTTATTTTGTTTGTGAAAGCACTGTTATATTTTTTAATGAGAGAATGCTTGAAGAAGTCTATTTTTTTAAATTTAATTTGTTTTGTTGACCATTTGTGAAAGATGCAGAAAGAGTAATAATATACGGCGAAAATGTTTGATTAGAGACAGGCAGCTACTGCTATTTAAGCGCAACAAATAAAAAAAAAATAAAACAGTGAAATAAAAGCTTAACTAACCGCAAACATGAAAGTGGTCACTTCATCTTGAATGTCCTCAAGTGTAAAAGTTGAATCTTTAGCGTGTTGTTCCAGCAAAACTTCCAAGAATGATTTGTTTGTCCTCTTCGATTGTTGATTGAATTCATTATAATTTAAATCTAGTTTGAGTGATTTTCTCTTGTCTTGAATGGCCTGTAATAGAAATTAAATCATTGAAAAATCAATTAGGATTTTACATTTTAAGAATTATTCACAATCTTACAAACTAAACTAAACTACAATATTTAGTTTAATTTTTAAAAATTCTCAATTCATCAATCCTCATTATCAATTCTTTCATCTCTATCAGAACCTTCAGCAGACAAGGCAGTTATTACTCTCATAGTAGAAATATCAATGTGAAAGGCCTACAAGATTAAATTTTAGGCCCAATAATCTATCTGATCTATGTTTTGAATTTCCTGAAATTTGACGATGACATCAGTTGTATCACTGCCTGTTATCTGGATGATACTGCGACTCTCTGCTATTCGTTGAAGCCGAAATCTGCCATAAAAGGCATTCAGAATTGCTTGCATGAAATAGAAAACTGGTGGCGAAAATGGTGAATGAAATCTCAACTATTGCCTTTAAATCTCAACTATGCCTTTAAATCTCAACTATTTCTCATAGGCCGTCATCGCAAGAAAAATGTTGAAGAAGATCTAGTACTCTTTAGAGAAAAGGTGCCGAAGGTTACCAAGGCAACCTACTTAGGTGTGCGATTCAACTCCACCCTCACTTGGAACCCGAATATTTCGGTTGCCTCCAGTCCACACCCGGAGGACGACTGAACAAGAGATCACAAGGCACGATCGATGAGCATCTGGAATGGAAAATAGCTGGTAGGCTAGTGTTTCTTTTCGACTCTAGTATGATTTCGGCAGCTTTCTGAGCAGGGTCATTCAGACAAGACGTCGGCGTTTTCAGGTGAGGATCCCTTCTGATAATGGCTATTTGCGTCCTCCGATGCTGAAATCAGTTTGCTGTTTTTGAAGTCCAAGGAAAAGTTGTATTTCCTTAAAAAGTCCAATCCGAATATGCAAGGATCTGTAACATCTGCCACATATGCCGTATGCTGGTAGGCGGCACTTCCAAATGTGATGTTCACGTTTAACTTCCCCTCTATGTCGATTTTATCACCAAACGCAGTCTGAAGAGTAAAAAAGGATGGCGTCTAAAGGAGTTTATCTTTAAACTGTTGAGCTAAATCTTTTCGAATGATGGTAAAATTAGCTGCTGTATCAAAGATCATATTGCAAGAAACTCCATCGATATGCCTATTGATGAATAGTCCATTACTGTTGCCCCTGACTGCAGAAATCTTGAGCGCTTTAAAATGGGGTTTCTCGGTATCGTTCAAACTCCGCTCCGCGATATGGTCATTAATTTATTTACTGCGTCGTTGCTAGGAAATGGTCTTATTTTCTGTGCGCTGCTGTGTTCTGTTGTTCCTTCCTACGTGGCCTTTAGCTCCGCAGGTCCAGCACTTCGGTTTCTTGTCATCAAATTCCGTTTAAATCGTCTGCCTTATTTTCCATGATCTGGGGTGTTCTGCAGTTCTTTGATATGAGGCTTTCAGCACCGACGTTCCACCACTTTATGGTCGGTTTCGTGTCGCTAATATTTCGTCTCAAGGCACTGGCTTGTCTGGTAAAATAATCTGTTGTATTTTCCTTACCCTGGGATGTTCTGTAATTTCGCCGTTATGTGGCATTCAGTGCCATTATGTGGCCACATTTCCAACAACTAGTTTGTTCTCACTCCTACTCCGTATCAAAGCATTAACTTGTCTGGATAAATCATCTAAACGAACCATCAATTGATCCACTGGCTCGTGTACTTGCGCAGCTCTGATTAGATGTCGGTCTCTATGAGTTGCTTGTTGGGTTGCCTCGAATTTCATGGCGTACACCAAAGCAATTTTTAACCTTCCAGCACGCGCGCTATGTACAAAATTTACGACAAATTCGGTTTTTAATGCACATTGTTCGCATACCGCAGCTTAGACGTCTAAATGTCATTTCTATTCCTCCTTTCAACCCTTCCACACATCATGGAATATGCCAACAGGAAGTCATATGATTTTTTTTACTGGGCTTTTGCGCTACGTAGCAGCTTCTTCGTAAAAGTTACGACACGCGCGTGGTCTTGGGTGAAAATTTTGAAAGTATTTTTTCTCAAATATTTTGCAATTTTGTGTTATTACTTGACGAGTATTACTTTAATTTTCATATATTCGACCCTGTAATTTTTATATCGGTTTCCATAGCAAAAAATATGTGCAACCAGCTGAATTTGCTCGCATTCTTCAAGAATTATCTTATAAAGAAAACGAAGACTAAGAAACCTTTGGATGCGAGAATAATAGCGATCTGAGTGGGGAAATATCGAAATAAATAATATCAGCAGTAAATCTGAACAATATATTTCAGATGATGATAGTAATAATGATATAGAAAAATGGAAGGATGATGATATATTCACGTTAGAAAGAATAAATCATCTAAGTGGAAAAATCAGAAGTAAGCAAACTGCTCAAAGACGAATTAGATGAATCGTGTGAGCGTTACCTGGCTTAAAACACCATGCTAAGGATATAAAGGAAGAAATAGGAACATTTGTAAAAATAGTTGATATAAATATGCTTGATAAAATTTTGGAATATACAAATAAATATATAAGTTTATTAAAAGGCAAAATACTCAAGAGATAGGGACTGCACTGTTACCTGAGTGGAAATAATGGTCTACTTCGGATTTTTATGTATCATAGGAATAAAAAAGGACACCATGTAAATGCAAAAGAATTATTCTCAAGTGATGGCACTTTAATTGAAATAACAAGAGCTGTGATGAACTACAAGATATTTTTATTTCTAACCAGTTGTCTTTGATTCGATGATAAATCAACAGGACAGGACAGATGAATATTAAAACTAGCTTGGATTTTAAACTATAGTTTTTAAATAATAATTTTTTCAATTTCTATAATAAAATACATCATTGCTTTTCCACCTGACTAATATACGCGTAAAAAATAATTTGCTATCATTTAAATGTGACGTCATTTGTATTTTGCAATAATAAGGTTAATATTTTATGTTTTAACAAATTTATTAACAACAATCAGTCATTGCTGTCATTTGTCGTGCCAAAAATGGTAAAATAACAGATGTAAAAAACACGATGCGAGCGTGCTCATGTAAAATTGCCAAGGGCGCGTGCTGGAAGGTTAAGTCCTTCATATCCGCCATTTGCAGTGCTTTATGTATTTCAGATTCCCGGATACCGTCGATAATGTATTGTAGCGACAGGATTTCCCTTGTTTCCGCCGGGCACTCCGAAAAGGGGAGATGAGACAGCCTCTCAACACCCATGGCAGGTTCCTGAAGCATTTCCGTGGGCTTCTGTTGACGGGAATTTAATTGAAGCCTGCTGTAATCTTTTACGCGCTTCTCGCCAAAGCGCAGCTCCAACGCGCCGAACAAAGCTTCGAAATCTAGTCTTTGGTTTTCCGGAAGAGTCTAAAGGATATCCGCAACGTCTGCTCTCAGAAAAGCGGCGAGATAACAGGCCTTAGCTTGGGAATCCCATCCATTCGCATCCGCCACTATAGAACATTCTGTCTTATACACTTGCCAGGAGGTCTTCCCGTCGTATGTGGATAGCTTCAGAGAGAACGGGCAGGCATGAGAAAAAATTTAAAGCCATCTATCTCTACTATCCTTGCCGTCGCTACGAATTTCTTCAAGGTATCAACTTCTTTGGCGACCACAGAAATGCTGTCATCAGTTTGTTGTTTGACGGCAGAAACTCTTCCTTTGATTCGTGGTTCCACAACAGAAACTCTCTCTTCTATTTTTTCTTTGACAGAAGAAACTCTGTAATCGATTTGTTGTTCCACGACCGAAACTTTCTGTATATTTGTTCTGTGACAGAAGAAACTTTTTCTTCAATTTGTCCAGCTTTATTTTCAATCGCGTCTATTCTGCCTTCCAAAGTCTCAAATTTATTTTCTATTATGCAGGTAATTTTTCTTTTAATTTTTTCTTGACCTGCTTCAATCTCTTCTTGACTCGCTTTTCATCTCTCCTTTACCGGCTTTCATCTCCTCTTGGCCAGCTTCCATTTTTTAACGCCTTCATCTCTTCTTTAACGGATTCTTCACCAGCTTTAATCTCCTCTTTAAACTAGGCAAGGGCTGCTATCAACTGCCTTAATTATTCTTTAATGGCTCTTGTTATTGGCATTCAAATCCCACTTCTGACACCAGAAAGTGTTGCTTGCGTACGATTTCGTAATAGATTGAATGCACGAGTCCGATAAAAAGTTAATGAAATTCATTCCTATCACAAGAAATATAAGAAATTCCTGGAGTTTTTTCTCAGAGATATTCGTAGAATATCACAATATCACGCAATATAATCAGTAACTAACCTTTAAACTACTAAAAACATTAGAATAGAACGCAATCCAAAGCGCAGAGGAAGCTAATCCGATCAACAAATTTACAGCAGATAAGGAAACAACAACTCACTAAACAACTGCTAAGCAACTGAGATGAGATGTTCTCTCTCTGGCTTCAATAACTTTTTTAATCGGCCGCGCGAGACAGTTCTAGCAATTTCTGGAAACCAAAAAGAGTAAAATTACGGTTACGGCTAATATAGTAGTCAATTACATTTATTTGAATTGCATATAAATTTCCGAGATAAACTCTTATTCAATGTTAATTGCGCGTGTTCTTGTATTTTTATTTTTCCGGCGTAGTTTTCTCTTAAAATTTGTCACTCGCTACATGCACGGGGAAATAAAACAATTTTAAGCCTATTTAAAATATCGGTACTATTCCGCTTTGAGGACCGTAAAAAATCGCCAAACTATTGTTGATGCCAGTGCTGCCAAAATAATTCCGGCAACTCTAACGCAAGAAAGTAATGACACTGATATAAGACATTAATAACCGTTATAGCTGAAATCTAGTTATTTAACCTAATTATTTTATTGTAAAGATTTTGCAGGTTTTTAATATTATGTTATTAAGCCCATGATATAGGCATAATGCCTTGCTTAATTGAAGCCAATATTAAATTTTTAAAACAGAAACTACTATCTGAAATATATGTTGCCTCAATCCTAAATAAAGTTACAAAACTTAAGTTATTTCATCTCAGTTATATTTAGAAAATTATTTACTATATTTCATATTATTATTTTAATTTTGAAATGATTATATAGTGTCACAATAATTCAGAACATATAAGGTGATTAAATGATGACTTCGGCTCAGGGGCTGGTCTATCAAATACATATAATATTTTAAAGAAATTTCCAGCATTTCAAGGAAATTATATGTTAATATATATGTAAGATAAAAAATATATAAATCAAAGTTATACCTTAAATTAGCAAACAGCTACTTAATTTCTCATTTTAATTTGGGCATTTCCCTTCCCTATTATAAAAGTAGTAATAATGTTTTCTAGGTTAATTTGTATCATGTGACTATGATGAGGTAGTTAATTCAGAATTTAAAATTTCCGGAACCGAAACCTAAGCTGGCATATTGGATAACTCTTCGTTTTTACTTCTAATCTATTGCCGCTAAGACGCTAACGGACCGCTTTCTTCCTGTCAAAACAACATAAAAAAAGTAAATATTCTATAAATAGGAACAATTAGAATGCCAGATTATTTCTGGCCACAAATGTCAACTGAAATAAAAATAAGTACTTAATCTGCCTTCGGTGGCCAAGTTCACTCTTGATTAGTGTTAAACATCTACGAAAACGATATTTCTACTTCACTATATTTATGTCTGCAACATTGCACGCACAGCAACATACATATTTGTAATCTATTGCTATCGTTCTTATCATCACAATCGTCACACATCCACAATTGTCATCAAAGTAAAAATTTCAGTCTCAGGTTAAAAGATTTTTCCAAGTTTAAGAACTTTTCAGTAATTAACATCTTTTCAGTAATTAACATTTTCAGTAATTAACAAATTTTGCAACAGTTACGTAGAAAGATAATAATTTATAGATGGAACTTTAAAATTATGATATTAAAGTATAAAAAAAAAGCCTCTTAAATACAAAAAAGAGAAATGTTTTATTTGCTGCGAACTGTGGAAGTTTGGCTACATTTGACTTATGAAATTGCTGGTTACTGTAAATATGTGTTGTTGAGATAAATAGAGAAAACGCAAAACAATTTTACCAAACAAAACTAATGAAATAAATTTTCAGGCATTGCAAATTTAATAAGTTCATAATAGCAAATACTGATTTTAGTGTTCAAATAGAAAGTTTTTTAAATCTTTACCTTTCCAACAAAATATTCTACGGACTTTCTAGCTTTTCTAAATCGCTCCCCTGCAGAACTGGAGAAAAAGATAATGTCAGAAATGAACCACGGTCTCACGATTCGATGCATGACCAGGTCTATTATCCTAAAATAAAAAAAATTCATTGTCTTTGCAAAAACTATTTTTAATGAATTTATATAATTATTATTTTTACATTTATCTTTATTTATTTTTTGACAGAATGGTTTTAGAGTCATTAATAGCATCCTTCACTGGAAAGGAAATATATTAATAAGATATTATCAAAAGATTTTTACTTATGGAGACTGAAGAGGGTGAACATAACTCATCTTTTCAAGAGTGATTGTGTAAAGGGGCTGTGATCTCACGTGCTGGCTTTCAAATACTCTTTGACTTCAATGACAATTCTGGCCACAAATGTCAATGAACAATCAATGACATTCTTGCTACCCGATTCATCCAAACGGACAGCAGTGCGATTAGGCTTTTCTTTTTTATTGCAGACTATGTCCATTCATTAGCGAATTATGAAGAAAAGTCTTGGAAAGCAGTATGCAAGACATTTTTTTTTTAAATCAGTGCTATGAAATGTACCTTGAAGCTCAGTGATAGACGCAGTGCGTTGAAAGATGTCAGTTAATCAGTTCGGATAATCTTTAACTACTTTTCTGCAAATGTATTCGTCACGAGTGCCTCATTATTCAATTTAACACACTCTCAAGTTAAAGTATTGTGTTTTATGCATCATTGTGTAATATTGAGTTCTTGTATAATAAGCATAGTAAACTTTGCTGCATTTTCTTATCACATTTGTTACATCCTTTTATTTTGCAGAGCTTTGCAAAGAGGCCTTAGAGAGGTCACTTCTCTAAGGCAACCACTTGCAAAGATGAATTTTTATTTGCGGCTGGGCGCCTTAGAGAGACCTCGTTGTGTGTGGTGTATATGATTACTGTTATTGTTTCTCTCAAACATTAGACACGATTACACGTGCATGGCTTTAGAGGTATTTGCTTTCATATTCATAGTCAGGGCTGATTTATTAATTATAATTTCTAACAGTAAACATAGTAAAAATTTTTAATACATAAATTATATATTGCATACTACATCCACGAAGAAAATAACAACACCATCGCACAGCATAACTATCGCCCATATTGCTTGTTTGGGAATTTGCTGAGAGTGGGGGGAGGGAGCTTGGGAGGGAGGGGGAATTTTTTTCCTCACGTCAGCGTTAACACGGAGAAATGTTTTGCGATTGTGAATGAACTTGGTCGCGTTAAGGAGATGTTGGTTGATACCGGTGTTTATTTGTAATATCAGAAATGTATGTGCTTATGTGTGTGTGTATTCAGAGAATCAAACTCGTACCAAAAACCACCTCCCTACGACCGCCTCTAAAAGTATTTCTGAAAACATGAGTATATTTTTGTATTGAACATTCCCTCTGTAAGCGATCATTCACAAAGAAAATTGTGCAATTTGGCTGGTCGCCTTAGAGAGATTCATTTCGTAGATGCAATCTTCCTAAAACGACCACCTCTAAAAGATAAACGTATTTCTGAGAACGTGAGTATATATTGTATTGAGTATCACCTCTCTAAGGCGACCACTCGCAAAGATAAATTTTATTTGCGGCTGGTCGCCTTAGAGAGACCTCGTTGTGTGTGGTGTATATGATTACTGTTATAGTTTCCGAAAAACAAATTTTAAATCAAATAAATAAGCATATTTAGTAAAAACCCTCTCCTTAACAACCACCTGCGTTTCCAGGTTACTCTGATGGTCTTAAAGAGATCATATTTTCATTCTGTTAATTTTATTGTTTACAAAAAGTCTATTAACGTCAGATAAAAAAATAGCATAAACCCATATAAACCAACAGAAGATTTATTATGATATTGATACCAGTTAGAAAACCAGTAAAGGTCAATATAAACCAATGCAAACCAGTAGAAAGTTCTGACATTGATGTTGGTTGTATGGGTGTCAGTTGATACCATAAGAAAACCCACAAGATCAATTAAACCAGTAAATTCAGTAGAGACTATCAAAATTTCTATGGGTACCAGCAAAATTTTTACTGGTTTCTATGGGTCATCATTTTGAAACCAGTAAGAAAAAAAACCCACAGAGACCAACAGAAAACCAGTAAAATCAATACAAACCCATAAGATCTTATGGGTACCCATAAAAAGTTTTACTGGTTTCTATGGGGCATTTTTAGGAGGGTGTATCATGTCAGTTAACGTAAAATACGTCCTACAATTGAGATTTCTTCAGTTAAAATAATAATTTGTGTTTATTCAGCTCAAATTTCACAGAAAATATGCACAGATGAACCGAAAATTTACCAGTATCTAAAATTGGCAGTTTTAACTAGATTTAAGACCGGTTTTATTTATTTGCCCCCTGCTAGAGGGACAATAAGAAATTAAAATGGTCTTTTAGAAAGCTTTTTTTAGTTCATTACCACTACGTATAGTACAATAACTAAACATGCACTTTCTTACTCACAACCGCAAGGGTGCGTTTCTGTGCTCCAAAAGAAATTTAAAGAACTTTGTTCCAGCATATCCGGGAACAATCATTGACCTCTCAGTTCTCAAACGTGTCGCCTACTGACGGATCACCATCTGATAAAACTAACGAATAATCCTTTATCACAGTCAGAAGAAGGAAGATTATTCATCAATAAAACATTTGAACACGTGTTAGTGTTTAAAACAAACAACTTAAGTGAAAAACTGTAACTAATGTAAATGAAAAAAAAATGTAGCAAACTATTGAGTATTGTAAAATATTAAGGATAAAATACAATAAAATTCAATATAATCAGTAAAATAATACAATAAATTTCTTACTTACAATAAATTTCTTACTTACAATAAATTTCTTACTTTAATTAAAAACATTTTTTTTTTAATTTTCAAAATTAAAATTTAATTTAATACTTTTTTGTAATTATTCCAAAAATACTTTTTCGTACTTATTCCAAAACATTTTTTTCGTACTTATTTCAAAAATATTTTTTTTACAATCCTTAATAGTTTGCTACATTTTTTCACATACCTTACAGTTTGCATTTTTAGAATTTTTTACACATTTTTACAATACTTCACATTTAGCAACGTTTTTGCAACAGAACCCACATTTCACATTACTTAAAAGTTTACTGAAAAGGTTTTTAAAATAGATCTAACAGATAGCAAATTAACCTCCTATTAGCGCCCTCTATTTATAAAATTAGCAGAAACACACTACTTAGTTTGGGACATGCTGCTCCACTCTTCAAATACAAATATAGTTGGTAAGTTAAATTAGAACTGACTATTCATTTGCCCTTTTTAGTATTATTTATGTATTTTTTATAGATAGTATCTAGTTGCTGTTTTTTTCCTTGATTTATTTGCATAATTCATGTCGAGGAAGTTTTCGGTAGGCAAGAGTTTCTAAATTACTTTGGTTTCCTAAAACATTTGATTTCCTACTCTTAATTGACTTTTTTTTTATTTTAATTCTAGTAATTTGCTTGCTAATTTCTCAAAATCCCTCTTTTTTAAATTTCTTTTAGTAATTCACGACATTTGGTTTTACTTTTGGTTTTGAATTTTACTTTTACCCTTTCCTACATGGATGACGAAACACGAATTGAATAATTGAAGAGTTAGATTTGGAGGCAACTTGCCCTTGATAAGTCTGTCTCCTGCCTGCTCAACAATTTTTTCAAATTTATAAAAATGCAACATTTTTATAAATTTTTTAGGATTCATGGATTTTGATACTTGCACTTGATTTACATTTGCTCTCAGAATTTAAATAATATTGTAGATTAGTTCGCAGCAATAATTAACCATTTATTTGTTTGCAATTAAATTTCATTATTTAGATTTAATTAACTTTAAATTTGCTTTTTACGAAATGAGAATGTTTGTTAAATTAAACAAATAGTAACATCATTTACAGCAATTAAAATTGAAAACTATGTCCCGGCTTTATCTTAACATAATATATTAATTTACTTTTATACGATTAATATATTATGTTATAAATAAAGTTTCATGCAGTGAAACTGTATATATTATTATTAGCTTACATGTTTCAATATTTGTAAAACTTTTAAAGTTGGGTAGATAAAAATGATTTCGGCAGAGACCTAATGTCGCAAAATTATAAATCAAAGAATATTGCACATTAGCAAATCGCAAACGAATATCATTGACATTGAATGATCTTAAATGGATACAAATGAAACCTCGATTTTCCTAATTTATTTTCTAACCGACACCTAAAAAAGGGCGATAAATTCGATTTTCAGACATTGCAAAATCTATCAAACCTCAGATTTTAAAATTAAATATAGGTCAATTTTTGTCACGGAATTCTAACGTTTTGTTTTTCACATTTTAGAATGAATATAAATTTTCATTAAATATAATTAAACGAACCAAAAAAAACGCGCGAAAAAGTAAGATTTCGTATTATTTCAAAAATTAATTTTTTAAATTTAAAAAAGCCGAAACATGTATATTTGTGTCATTTGATATTATTTTTGCGAATGAACGTGTGCTTTTACGATCTTATTCTTGTTTAAATAACCGCTGGGTAAGGACTTTTGTGAATACAGTGTTATACCTGCCCTTATTGTATGCCCAGCATGTATTGTAATAATGATGTGTAGCTAAAACAGGTATTTTCGCTTAATGTAATTTAATATCTACAGCATTTTTTAAATTTTAATTACATAACTGTAGTTATGTATCATGACTGTGTGTTATGTTACATCAGGCAAAGTCATCACGAGCCATATGATTTTTTCCTTAGTCCCTTCACACTGGCAAAGTAAAGAAATTTTTCTGTTCTCAAGCCATTGTCAACATTTTTACGTAGTCTCAAAGCAGTGTTCTTAATCATGTATTATTCCTTTCCTTGTTCCAATCCTTCTTTCAGTATACCCCTCCTTACACTCTAAAGTCCCGGAGGACGTACATAGTCCAAGTTTGTTTATTCCTTCTAGAGGACTTATCCTCCCCGATAAGCATCTAAGCAACTTACCTACTGTATCGGCTGCTTTATCGATGTCTACACGTAAAGATGGCAGAATAAAAAAATATTGACAGCACACAAGCAGTGAAATAAGGAAATTTGGATGAATTATAGTATATCCACTCTTTAACATTCAACAGACCACTCATCACTTACGATAGCGATCAGAATATAAAAAAGAAAGTAGGATAACAAAAGATGGACAGCCAATGGGTACTTCAACACTGAAAAGTAGCTGCAAAGTTAATATTATAGGAGTCTGTTTTATGGTGCAGTTGAAGGAATCCTAAAAAATGTTATAATTATGTTTTCAACGCATCGTAGCACTAGCATATTTGAATACATAAACAAACTAGAGGGAAGGATGGAAAAATGCTTAAACGCAATACTGAAAAACTTCTTGAACTCTTAGGTGCATTTACTCTTAGGTGTTAGATATTTCTTAATACGTATATAATATTTCACAATTTGAACATAAATACTTCAGCATTCGAAAAGAAAGGTACTTACTCTTCCACAGCTTCTGTGAATTCGAAAGCTTCTTTATTCCCCTCCTGGGAATCGATCCGGATCCCCATTAAAGCATCTGAAAATAATCCCAAGCATATATTAAAATCAAGTTTTGAGTTTTCTCGAGCACCATTTTTATGTGCCAATTCGTTTCCAAAGAAGATGAAGATTTTACACGAAATCACCAAAATTTACATTCCTTTTCATTGCATAACTGAAAATTTCCTTTGCTTCCACAAATTAAAAAGCAAACAGAATATTCGTATTAACGAAAATATCATATAATCGATATTAAAGTATGTGTCATAGTGTATAATGCAATTCCTTAAAATTTATATGAAACATTTTATATATGTGAGATTAAGTTCATGCGAATAAGATTATATTATAAGATTCAAAATGAAACAGCAGAAAGACTTCAGAACTCCTTAATTTCACCCCTCTTAACAGAGTAAGTTTCCGGACTTACTCACCAGTTTCCGACGAGGAAATCTGTCACCAAAAGAACCTAACGTAATCTCTCAGCTCTTTGCGTAATGTCCGGCAGATATCTATAGAGGTCTAGATTTAAATTATTTATTATTATTAGATATCTTGCTTTTAAAGCTCCACACAACAATAATGGTTGTGTTTACATTGCGTTTCTCAATTTGCATAAACCAGTCAGTATGTCAGCTTAATTTGCTGCGCCATGTAGAATGTTGTCAAAGAACTAAACTGATTGTAATAGTCATGGCAAGGCTCATGAAGATAAATTACAGTATTTAATGATCCCATTTTGCACGCTTGTTCTTGATTACGTTTCTGCTTTTGTCTATATCTTTAGAACAATTTATTTTGATGAAGGGAAGAACTGACTATTATGCCAGAAGTTCCGCATGGGGATAGTTTAGCTGGTTCTTGTATCGTTGGGCTCCGATTCATATCCCGGAGAAGATTTGCATGTTTATAAGTGTGTATTGACTGTGCGGCATAAGGGCACTTGAAATACACTAACAGCTGAACGTCCTCTCGAATGGTTTGGTGGTAGAGGAACAAGTATAGGAGGCTCAGAAATCCACTCCTTGGGTGTTCTGCTTCAAAAATGACACGAAGCTGTACACTTAGTACAGTGATAATTATACCTATAAAACCAATGGTAGGTTCTGGTGTGTCGTCAATTTCTTTCTATCCTAACGGGAAGAAATCGACAGCAGAAATGCGGCATGTCCAAGATGAAACCTCGGCTCAGAGTGATTTAATTTTAGTTCCTGTTCATTCTTATTGGTTAATTTTAAGTTCCTATTTGCCACTAGGAAATTATTATTGGCTTAAGTAAAGCTTATTTTATAAGTATCTGCGCCATTACAGTTACGTAAGAACCATATGAGAACGACTTAGTTTGAAATCATGTAGTATAAGCAGTTACTATTTTAGGACAGAAAGGGGAAATAAGTGATATAGAATGGAGAGTTAAAGTACTATTGCAAATTAAAATTAGAATTTTGATTTTCATATTTTTTATCTTACACGTGCACAAAAACACACAGATATATATATATATATACAAAAGTAGTAACTTTCTGATGAAATCGACGTATCAATGTTGATGGCGTATAATGTAGAATGTTGAATATACACTGAACAGCGAAACGATACTTTCTTTCAAACTTGCAATTTTAAATTTGCAATTTAATTCCGCTGACCAATTTTCAATGGATAGGGGTCATTTTTCATAAGGTGGATACTATTAGAATTTATTGTAATAAAACCAAATTTAGAAGCACTGATATAGAAACGTTGAGATGTAGAAACGGAGAAATACTGATGGTGCAGCACACAGATAGCACAAAAAGTAGATCAATATTAAAGAGGAAACTGGGCAGCCGAGTAAGATTAAATATTCAATTTTATTTCAGTTGACATTTGCAGCCACAACTCACTTGGCACTCTAATTGAGTCTATTCCAGAACATTTTCATTTTGATACATTTTCATCATATATCTTTAAGATTATCATACTAATAAAATTGCAGTCAAAGGATTGCATAACTATGTTAATGATAAATCTATGTTAATGATATTAAAACCTTTTGCGAAATCTTTTAACGCCGTCATATCTCAGTTCCTCTAATCCGAAATAAAACAACTAGAGTAACACTGCCTCCTTTGGTTACGTTTGGAACTCGGATTCTAGTAGTTTGGAAAACCAATTATTACCAATGGTAGTTTGGAAGACCAATTATTGTATTATCATTAAACAAACATTCACTTGGAATGAATACGTACAACATGCACTTGAAAATGCTCAGAAAGTACCCGACAACTTCTTGCTGCAACAGAGCATTACTCAAATATTTCTCTTAAAAAAATTACAAAATATGTAGAATTGTCAAATCCTCTTTTATTCATGACCAGTGTGAGCAACTACAAACACAAGCGACAAGTGGCACGAGTAAAGAATCAATACGTGATAACAAAGCCAAGAATATTCAAGGCCATTTGTTAAAAATTAATTTTTACGTCTTATCAACAGCGCACCTTATTCCACTCGAAATAATATACTGCATATAAATATTAAAATGGTCACAATCAGTTTATTAAAAGATCAACAATATATTCTTCAATAGAGCTGCTCCCAGTAATGCTGCTCGTTTCCCACAGAGTTTATTCATGAGATCGCAGAAGGTATTTTCGTTTGCTCACATGCAACGCACTATCTTCAGGACCAAATTTTCTCCGCTGCTCATTATACTTGCAATTTTTTTCTCTGTAGTTTAATAGTTTCCCAAGCTGCCATTTATTCAGTAATCCGCAATATCGTATTTTCATTTGAGCCTTCGTCTTACATGACAGAGTTCACCTCCTTTTCTTCCTTCTTTGCTGCCAATTCAAATGGGATTCTCCTGTTTGGTTGACTGATATGATCAGCCCACTGAGATGTTATTTCTTATAATGTAAAATAGCCCAAGGATTATATTTAGGCATACGTGCAAATGTACAATTATTTGTGTGTATAATAGAAATTAGGCATCTAGCGATAGATAAAAGATTAAAAATGACACGAAGCTGTACACTTAGTACAGTGAAACGTACTAACGTTGCTAACAGTGAAACGTATACGTTGCTTTACATTTTTTAAATGTAAAGCAACGTATTTCCAAGCCTGTGAAGTTTGTCTGTTTCTTGCCAAAAAAAATAATGAAACCACTGATTAATTTCATTTAAAATTACTTCTCCACATTGGATTCATATGAAGAGTTATCAGTAGGTTTTGTGCTTGCCATTGAGCGAGGTCGCTTCATGGATACGAGAGTTCATCAATAGTGGTATCCAGGTTATGGCACCAGTTCGAAACTCTAAGTGCCATCATCAAGAGCCACGACACAAGCGAAGAATCGATACGTAATATTAAACGTGTGAGTTCATAGAGGGTTGGTGACTAGAGGGCTCTTTCAGGTTACCGCTACTGCATCTGGAACAACAATTATTAAGTCAAATACATCAGATCATCTCCCAAAGAAAGGCCCTGCAAGCAGCGACATGGATCCCTCTCAACAAATGGAAAAAAAATTCCTCATCTTTTGTAGAGCTAAGCACATCATCCTTGGACACAGCAGGATTGAGGTTAGGTCTTTCCAGTGGTAAGACTACTGAATCTACCATACACACAGTTATCCTCTAGGAATCTTAATCTGGAAAGATTATGAGGCTCGTAATCTTCCTTCGAACTTTAAGAAAATCGGCCACTTCGGCAGATGTGGAATCCTTGTGTGTGGGAGGAGAATTGTGCTAATCGTCGGCAAGTCACTGTGTGGCATTCAAGAACTATGACATACCGTTACGAGAATTAGGTTCTTGAAACATATGAGGTTTTCATAGAAAGCTATTGAGAAGACTTCTTTTGTGGAGGATAATGCAGAGGTCACACAGCGATAAACTAGTTGTCTTTTCTGCAGAAAACGAGCATGATAATATCTCTATAGTGAGACTTATATAAAGTTGTCCGAACTCAGTCTTATGGAATAAGTTAGAAAAAGCCTTCATACAACATTAAAGCTGTCACAACAACCTCCAGCCATTAAAATATTCAATTTTAGAAGATCGGGATTTGTTGCTAAACATTATAATCTAAAACCTGATTTAAAACTCCGAACCCTTTTCATGCAGGAGTGCTCTGTTTGGGTATGTTACGTTACTTTTGGTTGTCTCATACTACTGGTCTATGTATACAAAATTTTTAATAATAAACTAAATATTTTTAGTGAAATCACATGTTTGTGGTTTTGTAACCTTAGTTTTAGACATATTCACATACATGCACATATACACATATCTACACGTATATATTGATGCAAATTATTATGATGAAATGCATTTAAATCTCGAAGCATTTAAAATATTTTCCTATATATATAGGCTGATTCAAAACTATCTTTGAAAAATGTAAATGCAGGTAGAGAGGGCCAAAATAAGCAGATTTTGTAACAGAAATGTATTTTGGCAACTAATCGAAAACGGTATATAGAAAAATTTCCGAATAACCCCTTTGAAAAGTTGCTGCTTTTCTGTCTGCAGCCTTGTTAGATAAGCATCATAGGATAATTCCGCGTCCATATAGCGATAAATAGCGCTCGAAATCCGTACCGCCTCAACACGCATTTTCCGCACACACATTCCATTAGCCCCTCTACACTTTTCAGTCATTGATGATATGTTTTCGATATAGTGCAATATTCTGATATATAGCTTATTGAAATGCTCCATTTTCAGATATAAAAAACAACAGGAAATACTGAAGAAATTGGCAACTACGATTTACGCTTTTCTGTTTTAATAGAGATTGTAGTTTGTAGTTATATAAATATTTTAATCTCATACTGTTATTAAATTAGCAGTCATGGATTACTTCAAAATATTCCGAATAGCAAGTTTCAGCCTCGATTTAAACGATTTCTTAAAGTGATTTTCTTTAAGCTTATTTATTTAGAGTCTACAGATTTTCAGCAAAAATGATTATCAGTATAAAAAACACTCACCGCATAAAATATCCAATGTGCAAGCTGTCATCATAGGCGTAATATCAATCCAGGGTTTATTTATCGTAGTTTTAAGCTTGTTAACAAGAACTGAGGAATGTTCATTAAATGAAGGGATGAAATTCTCTAGAACTCTCGAGTGAAAGGCTGGTTGAAGTAATTTTCTTCGCTGCGCATTTTCTTTAGCAGAACTGAAAAAAAGTAAGCATTAATCCGTTAGATGAAATTAGTTTGAATAATATTATAAATTATAAAATGTCATTAATATTATTATTTATAATAAATAATTATAAAAATCTCTTCACTAATCCGGAATATTAATAGTATGGATTTTTTTCCCCATTCGAATTCCATATAGTGGTGATTTAGAGCAACCGCGGAGAATATAATTGCTCTAACTAAAAGAGACGTATAAAAGAGACATTTCTGGAAGTAAGAAAATGTGATGTTTCAATGAAGTGTGTATCCAATGAACCTCATAACATCATGCACTGGCACAGATAAGCATTCCTCGGAAACTGCAATCCTGCCTCAGCGCATTTCCACGTAACTTTCTTACTCTGCATGCTGTTTACATACTTACCTTCGCCTTCCTCCTCATCATCTTTCTTTTCTCCGATATGACCGATTATTTCATCGTCATCTTGACAGAGTGTGACGAAAACAGAATTGTTTACATGTAAACAAACTTGCAGCTTCTCTTTGTTATGTAGAGAAATTATCTGATAGCGTTATAAAAACTATGTGAATGATTTTATGATTTATGGAAATCTTAATTTTTATTTGATTATGAATTATTTATTTTAAGGCTTTAATTTTGGGGAAAAACAGATGCTTCTGGAAATATTATTTAGTTTAAATGAATATTATTTATTTTCTTTTATTTGCAAATCTTGTACAAACTTTTATTCATTGTGAAAGAAGCAGGGAAAGGGAGGCAATTTTTGCCAAGTCATGATTTCGTGCGCTTTGTCCTTAGAATGTTCGAGAAAGAATTTTCATTGTTAGTTGACCTTAAGAGAGGAAAGTACGTGACAGAAAGGTCAAAGGGTTGCTACTTGTCTTTCAATGTAAGTCATTCAGGTTTTTGGCGATTGAGGGTCCGGTTGTTGGCTAAGTGAAGGAAGGCGCGCATGCGCGATCACCCTTATTTCCGCATTCTGGAGTTGAAAGCGCAAATTTTGCCATAATTAAGGGGACGATAAGTGAAGCCATAGTGGGAGCCCGTTTTGTGGAGGAGACGAAGGAAATTCGAGTTGGATTCACTTTTGACTCACTTTTTGACTGACTTACGCTTGGACTCGCTGATTTTCGGGCTTGCTGGACTTACGGGCTTGCTGGACAAAATGTAATTACGAAGAGAGATGTTTCCCGGCGGGGAGCGGCAAATATGCTCCCCGGCCGCGTTTTGGTTAAGAGGCGAGACTCTCTTACTGACTGGCGGGTGGAACTTACTTGGAACGTTACTCGTGAAGCTTGCTCTTGGGATGAGTAAGAAAAGGCGAGCCGTAATTGCCTAGAAAAAACGTTTCTGGCCTGAAGCTGAAAACACTCTTCCGTGCGGCGTGCTGGTAAAGAGGCGAAATTTGAACGAGTTACCTGCGGGTTGACTTAGGACTTTCAGGACCAAGCGGATAGCCGTCCTGGGCAGCAGTGCTCCTGTTTCTGTTCTACAGTGGAAAAATAACATACCAGTGTAACGATGAGCCCGGTCGACCTTCAAGATGTCCACTCAAGATAAGTTTTATTTTTTTTGGTGTGTTTGAACTTTAGGCAAGTTTTTCAAAAACGTCCTTAGCAGTAAAAACAACGTCGAATCTAAAATTTAACTCTCAGGCTTAAATTGTTTCCCTTTCCTTTTTTTTTTAAATTACCAGACAAACCTTAAGTTTTTTTGTGAATTTAAATGAAAAGACTCTCAGATGAGGTTAAGATTTTTCTTATTGTGATGTAATTGAATAAACTGATATTTAATCTGGAACCTCTTACAGTATGTTTTCTTTATATATTTAATATGAACTTTTCCTTTATATCTTGTATATGTTTTATGTTTTCGATCCTCTCACGGCGCGGTCCCGGGATGCATTTTTTTTCACAACGCAAGAAATGCTGTACACGTTTCACTATACGATCACTAAAATTTTGTTAGTTGGCAAATTCTTAAGAGTTTAGTTTTCCTCCCTAAGAGGAAGTAGAAACCTTTTCACGGCAAGTAGCTTCATATTTAACATTTAACATATAGGAATTTCAGATATAACATGGTACCTTGAAGTAAAGCTATTTAACCTTGGTGTCGAAACTTCCCTATTTAACATCTTCATTAATACTAACATTCTCTCAGCATGTAAATAAAGATATAGGCCGCGGGAGGCTGAATGATTTTAAACCAAGAAAATCTTCAGCACTCATCTACTTTTCTTACAAATATGATATAGGATTGTTGAGTCATTAGGTTACTTTGGAGCAAAACATAAGAAAGATGAGCAATCCCCTCAGCAGAACTCGAACTTGGACCTCTCGAACACGCGCCAAATGTGCTACTGTTACACCACCACGAAGGCCTGCTAGAAGGAGAGAGAAAATACCATATATACCGCCCGAATACATTGTGTATTCCACAATGAATTATTGTCCACCATCCGTTAGATGGTGGACAATAATTCGGGCGCCGTTCGTAGAGTTATTAAGGTTTTTTTTGTTTAGGTCTGTTTTGTGTTTCGATTCAGAAGAGGTAAAGCGCAATGCCCTCGCCAAGACTCGAACTTAGGCCTCTCGAATACACGCCAAGTATGCTTCTGTTACACCACGAAGGCATTCTATAAGGAGCGAGAAAATACCTCAAAGGGTACAAATTGCGCCAACAGCGATGTAAAGTAATGCTCTTTACATCTTCTAAATAAGAGACTTATTTTAGATAATTCCTTGGCCTGTGGGTTTGGATAGGTCTGTTACGTTTGGCAGGAGAAGTATAACATTTATGTTTTCCACATTTAAATTCAGATTTAAGTTCAGATCTTCAAAAGTACCGTTATTTTGACATTGCTGGCTAATTAAGTGAAGGTAAAGAAAGATTTTACTCTACTTCGATTTGTTTTCTACCAATCAAGAACCTTTCTCCCGACACTTTGAGAACTTTTACAAGAATGATTTAACATTCAGCAATTCAAATTATAATGTACTTAGAGAGGGCCAAAGATTACGTTCTTGAACTCATAGAAAATACTGATGATCTAGGAACAGCAATCAGAAAAGCAATCAGATAAGACAAAATACTGATGATCTAGGAACAGCAATCAGAAAAGCAATCAGATAAGACAAAATACTGATGATCTAGGAACAGCAATCAGAAAAGCAATCAGATAAGACAAAATACTGATGATCTAGGAACAGCAATCAGAAAAGCAATCAGATAAGACAAAATACTTTCAAAATGACTTTCATTCAGGTTATTAAAAAAAAACACTTTCTGCCTGAATCACTAAATAATATTCCTTTTCATAATGTTCTGAATATTACAAATAACTATATCGTTGCGTTCTACAAGTTCGTGGATTTTGAGTAATTGATGACAACACTCGCTGAAAAATCAAAACACAATGTATTCGCCAGTAGGCACTATTACACAAGACAGTTCTAAAGATACGTTCCCAATCGTCGAGAAAATGCGACAGACACACTGAAACAATCAACAACACAGCCTTTAAACTGTAAAGGTGAAGACAGTTTCACCTCAAAGCACTAAAATACAGCTCCCGACTCAGTCAATCGCTATAAAGCTAATCTCTGAACTTAAATACTGTTTTCGTCCAGTACCTGTAAATCCTCTTTCCTGTAAAACTGAGTCAGGAAAGGACAAGAAAATTATCGCGAGTAAACGAACACTCCTTTCTTGGACACTATGTGTCCAAGAAAGGAGTATTCGTTTACTGGTTTATAACTTTGCAGCTTTAGGGCAAGTCATAGGCTTCTTAATTTACTTTTAATTACTTTATTTTGAACATATATACATATATACCTGAATGTTTTTATTGTTATTTATATTTAATAATTTGTGCATGTAATAGTCAAAAGATAATCTATAAATCAAAATTAAATTATGAAAGAGGTTAATATTCTAAGTGGAAATACACATATAAAAGATGGAAACAAAAGCAGTTCAACAAAACTAATATAATATATTAAAATAATATAAAATATATAGAAGTTTTTTTAAATTCCTTGGTCTTTATCAAAGAGCAACTGAAGAATTTTCAACGCAGGCACGTTTCTGAATTTTATCTGGATGAATGTTAATAATGGGAAATTTAAAGTAAAAATTAAAAGAAATTGGTTATTTATATTAATTGAACTAAAATAATAAGTAAATGATCCTAAAACTGCAATAAAGTGAAACTTTAACAAACTTTTAAACTTTTTTTCTGTTTAACCATCAAATTATAATTTTCTTCGACGTGAAACAAAAATAAGAATCCCATATCAAATTAAAAATCCCATATCAAAGAAAGTAATAAATTATTTTTTTAATCGATTTAAGAACTTTATACATTCCTATATCTAAGATTAAAGGAAATGCTATGGAATTTTCCATTCGTTAGATCTCAACTCTTCTGTCGGTGACACCGACTACACCGAACATCTGTTCTCCGAAACTAGGCCCCGTTTTTACATTTATGTTGTTGTTATGATCATATTCTATGAAAACACAGTTTTTCACATTTTTAATTATTTAGATAATAAGAAAAGCTTTTGTAGACCATGAAGTATTAATGACTTTCCCTAAAACGCGGAAAAATGAAATTAAAGTGATACAGATGAGTTTCGAAAAAGGGCTACACTAAAAAATAAAATAAGACTGAAATTGAACATACCTTGTAGCTAAACCATTTCCGGCAATATGCCGAAGATATTCATAATCATGAGATTTATCATCAGCTAATCTGCTGGTTAAGACTGCCTACAGAAAACATATGAGAAATTTTAATTATTTAAGATGCCGTTGCATTACTTAATTTTATAAATATAAAAATAAAATGATTTTTGGAAGAATCAGTTCTATGTTTTAAAGTTTTAAACATTTGATTCATGATTTAATTTTATTAATTCATTGTATATCAATTTAATAAACAATATTGGTGTTTTCAATGTTTTCAAGATGGTGGCAGGACTAGATGTATACTAAGCAGTTTAACAGAAACCAGTAGGTTCTGTTAAAGAAATAAGTAGCATAACATAGGCCTTTAAGACAGTGTTTTTTCTGAACAAGAGGTATCTTCTAGTAGGAAATAACAATTTTTATACGTCTCCAAGACAAATTCCCTCTAAATTTATATGTATTCTAATAAAAGTCTTTTAGGACAAAGAAATTCGATCAGCATTATGCGAAATTAGTAATGAAAACATTTATCAAAATTTCCATTAAAATTTAATGATCATATGAAATTAATTAAGTGAAAAGATTATATAGTTGTGGTAAAAGACTATGTAGAACTTTCAGTATGGAAAAGAATAAAATCGTTCATTTGCATCCACAGTCGTGCTGTATAGTTCAAGTTTAATCTTGCAAGGGATACATTGATACTTTCAAGGGAAACATTTAATTCAACAATACAGGAACATCACTATTCGTATCCCGTAGTTAGCAGAAATCAAACCAAAAACTGTCATTATTCCTACTGCGGAATACGTACATGGGAATACTGGAATTTGTGTATCGAAACTCTGTATCCTAGAATATTTTGGGATGTAACCTTCATCTGTCGGGTAACTTGCTCATTGCACGACATTCAGACACCTTCTTTTTTTCTAAGCAATATATGGTAAACCTAGGGGCACATTTAGAAGACGTTTATATCGGTTCACCAGAGAAAAGATCAACATAGCAGCTGAGAAGATGAAGATAAGTTGCGAAGCGAAATCAACATGAGGAGAGTTCAAGAAAGGAGATCAAATGAACTTGAAGCGTCATTGAAGGATTTCCACTAAGCTTCAGATTTCCTGGGAGAAACCCTTCGGAGTGATTGAGACACTGAACGACGCAGTGTTGCGTATACAAAGAACTGCTACTTCTAAGCTTAAAGTACTGCATAGCTATAGAGTTGCGCCTTATAATCGGACTAATATCAAACCTGCACCAAGTATTTCAATGAATGTTGATGTCTTTGGTCTTAGGGATTGCACCGCCTGGGACAAACAGTTATTAAAAAGGAGTGTTGTCGTAAATTTCTGTAATATTTGAGTCTATTTCATCATTTTCTTGTATTGGGAAGCTATTGTAATGTTACATACTTTTTGAATTTTTGTTGCATTTTATGTGATACTTTTATTGTATACTTTTGTGTAGCTAAACTTGTGGTAGCTAAACCTGTGGTCCCATATTGTACTTTCAGTTGTTTATATTTTGGGCAGAAGTGTAGATCTTGTGATTCTCAATTAAAAAAGTTTAAATTGTGAACGTAGCTCAATCCTAAGATACAGGAAGAATCTCTCGTATCGTTTCTTGCGACATACGATGATTTCTTACGAACTTGGCGGCTTTCTGGGGTTTGGCAAAATATATTTTCGAATCGGTAGGATGGAATTTTCCTAAATCTTCAGGACAGTATTATAAGCCTTGACAGCCAGTAACCCACACTTCTGATCACTCGGAAGGGTTTCTCCCAGGAAATTACTTCAGTGTTCTATTCAAAAACTTAGATAAGTGAATCGGGAGTTGAGTTTCAGAGTTTACTCTGTGAGTGATGTTAGTAATTTACGATATTTCACGTATGTTAAGGAAAATTTGCCATATTGCGTTGTAAGGATTTTAAGTTTTACTAACGTTTATTTTATTTTAAATCTTTACTATCACTTCTATTTTCTACTTCCGGCCAGAATTAAAAGCGTTAACTTATTTATGCAAAATTTGTCTGGCGAACGCAAAGTACTTAAGTTGTGGCTTTTTGCCAAGCGAGAGAGAGGAAGGAGTTAGTCGGATCAGGCCGCTTACCTTAGAAGTTTTACTCAGTTGCTAGTTGCCTTCCAGGCCAGAGGTTTAATCCTCGTGATAATTTTTAACGTATGGTAGTGTTAACAGTTCTCTGTACTACATACGGCTTCCTGTTAATATCCGGCCAATCTTACACGTAGGCCCTTGTTGATTATTCCAAATTTAAGTTAGAGTTTAGTTATATTTTATATTCTTACGTTCAGACCACAAGTAGTTGGTCTCTGTATTCCGAAGTACGGAAATTATTGTAAAGGGTGAAAAATAAAGGGTTTTGTATACCCTTCCTGTGTATCTTGTCTACTTCCCACAGTTATTGAACATAGCTTTAGTAAGCTCCCTGTTCCGAGTCAGGTCTGTGCATGTTCCCAAAGAAAGTAAGACGGAACGTTGAACCTGATAGCGTTATCCTTGAGTTTTTACAGCTGTTTATTGTATTTCGCGTTGTTATTTTTGCAATAAATTTTCAATATCTTCTTGTTCATTTGATGCAATTATCGGAAATTTCATCACCCATAATACAGATGCATATCGCGTCTATCATTAAAATAAATGAAGTGTAAAAAAACGAATAATTCTTGGGAATGATAGATAAAATTTATATTACCGTCACATTCTGATTGCTGAAAATTTTGGTCTTCATTATTATTCTCTTGATTCGCAGATCTTTCGTGCAAAAGTTAAAATGCTTACCGAATGTCGTTTAAATATTGTAAAATGTTTCAGAGGTTGCTGAAGGTCATTCATACATTTAGACTTCTAGTAAATATGACAATGCTTCCGACTTTTAACTAAGTGTATGAATATTAAAAGAATGCTTACTTTGACGTGCTCTGCTTTATAAATGAACACGTACGGTCGGAAACCAATCCACATAAAGAAGAGCCCTTCATATTGGAACATAGATGCAAAAGCAGAGCTTATGTTAAAAAAATCTGAAAAATAAAATATATCTGTTTTAACATACCTTACAATTGCATCACATAATTCTTTCCGAAACTGCAATAAAATTAAAACTTTCACATTAAAATAATTTCAAGAAACTTCAGCTTAAGGCCTATGATGAAATTCCGTTATTTGAATAGATCTTACTTATCTTTAAGTAACGTAACTCTGCTATTATGGTAGTAAAATTCCTCATTGAAGGATGGTATTTTAAGTGTTTACAGTGTGAAACTAATTAAAAACAAATTTTAAAATAATTTAAAGAAAGGTTTTTTTTGTATAATTTTTGCAGTTTCAATATTTCTGTTGTATTGGAACATATTATTCAAATTAACATAAAAATTTTCTGGCAACGTCTGAGCGATCATATATTTTTAGGCTTATTTTTGCGACCCCGCTTACCTGGAGACTAATTAGAAAATGGGAAGTTTTTGCTCAAACAGCCTTCTTTTATCTGAACTTATTTCAATAAGCCTTTATTTCTTGTGTAATGTAAGTAATGGTTCAGTTGAGCAATCAAAAGTCCAAATTTGCATAGCTATAGACAAAGAAAGATTATCTTGTCCTTCAATATTGTTCGATTGCAACTGAATTATCGCATCGTTCATGAGTCTTCGTTCTATTAGTGAATTAGTATGTTTTTATCTTGACGTTCTTTTCAATGAGCCGGATTTTTCAGTTAGTCTAATTAAATTGTGTGTTTTTCTTTCATTTTGCTATCTCAATATCAACGTCATCATCTTGTCATCAAGATCAAACTTTAAAAAAAAAGTTAAATGTTCAGGACAGTAATCGACAATACCTAGGACGGTAATGATGATCAAAGCAGTCTCCAAAATGAACCTTGTGACATAAAAGCAAACACTGAATAAAAATACAAAAGAATGTATTAAAAAATCTGAAAGCTTTCAGATTTTATACTACTCCCAAAGGGGTGTTTTTTTTTAACGTTTTGTGTGTTACCTTTATTTAGTAAATATCATGTTCTTCTCACTTAAATCACAAAATTCAGTTCAACAACAATATCACAAAATAACAAAATTCAGTTCAACAGCAATATCTCAAAATAATTTAAATACAGCATATGTTTAGAATTTCTGATATACAGTGTGCAGCGTTGGAGATAATTTTTTTTCGTACGGTATTCTCATTGTTCGCTTTGAAGTCGTTGAGTTTATTAATAAAAAATTTTTTAAAGTTTTACAAAATATGAAATAGATAATAAATCAAACTCCAAGTTAAAAATTAGGGCTTTCAGGTACCCATATTCGAGTGGAGGATTGCCTCATTCAAAATTTGATGTCTCCAGGTACCGTTGATTTTTCACAGTGCGAGAAACATGCGTACCTTCATGCAGATTCTTCATTATTTGATTTCTTTAAATATAATGCAGGGTTCTAATATTTAGTGGCAAATTTGAAAAATGAAACGCCGTTTGTATTAAACCAACACAAAATGCCAAAACGAAATTAATATTCCTTCTGGGTAAATTGCCCTTTTGAACTAACAAGAGTGATGACGGGGTTAAAAAGTCATTAATTAATCTAACTGTAAATGAAGACGTCCGTGAAATTTTAAAATCAAATAATTCACCCTCCCCCCCAAAAAATTGGATAACTAGAAATTATGACATAATGGAGGTAGGTGAAAAAAGACATTTAGTTTAATAAAAATTTTAAAAAGAAATGAGAATCCTGTCGTAATAGTAATCCCAGATGCTGCATAGTTAGACATATGTTTCAGTATCACCGCATTAGAAGACATGGCGGAACAGATAAAATATTGCTTGCGTTGAAAAATAACTTTCGTTTTCTTAGACCAATAAGTGACTTTTTTTGTATCGTTTTGTAGAATGTGTAACATGAAAAACTCATCAGCATAAGTAACATTGTTTCAAATCAATCATAAAGTATTTAAGAGCTCGAAATCAAATCCACTTATCGATTTTCAATCAAAGCTTGTACATGGTTAAGGAATGGTTAACGATTTACCAAGATCATGAAACAAACTTTTCGCTTATTTTTCCTTTGAAAACAAAGTATGTTGCTGAATTTGCATTAGAATGGCTGAAGATATTTTTACACTTCGATGCATAATAGGATAGAGCGTTTAGGAAGGCGACAATGAGCGTGGACTTGAGATGAATTCTCAGCTATGTGGCCTGCTTGTTAAACATTATGAAACTTCCTTGTGATTATGGATGAAAACTACAGCATCCACAATCAGAAGGAAGTGTAGCAGATTGTATGTAATATACTACCATATTGTTCCGTGGTGAAAAAAAAACTTTTCAAACCATAGAGTCTTAGGATTAAATCCCTACGCAGCCGTTTTTGGAACTTAACCAAAATTAGGATTAAGATCAATAATATTTCATCAACAATATTAGAAACAATTTGACAAGGAGGAAGATCTGGAAAGGTTCAGAGATAGTGGCAAGGAAAAAAATTTAAAAAGTGTTTGTTATTCATTCATTTAGTTTAAATGAAACATATCCGTTTTGTGTTTTGCAAGTTTTATTAAGATTTCCACAATATATTGCCAGAACATTTCTTCAATCGCTGAAAAAAATAATGCCTTTTATGATTGCGAGGTTTGCAACAGGCAAGAAAAAAATAAGAAACTGGCGTCAAAAAGTACTAGAAAGTTAAAAGAAAACAACAGAGGAAATGATAAAAATTAGAGTAAAGGAACTGAAAATAGTACAGTTGAAATTTTATTTTGTTATACGTCCCGAAAGAAGGCTGGAATCATTTAGACTGCCCAAATTTAATTAGGAAAGTTCCCAAGATTGGAAATAGTGTTTACCAATAGGAAAAAGAAGTAGCAATACTAAAACATAATTTGCAAATTAAAACATAAGAGAGTTGTCGCTACCAGATTTCTAGTTCACAGATTCTTGAAGACATCTGAAAAATATAGTCGAAGTCTGGTGGCCAGGAAATATATTTTAGATCTCACTCTAAAAATAACTTGATTTCTTGGACTCAGTTAAGACTGTTAGGCAATTTTTTCACGTCTGTGGAAGTAACTACAGATTCAGTAAAAGTTTAAAAAACATTTTTATTCACTCTTAACAATGCGCGGCTTTGTGATTAACTAATTAAATCTCCGCCTCTTTCGGGATTTCAGGTGACATAGAAATTAAATTAAACTTTAAATGTAAAATTAATATTGCAGATTCACAAATAAAAAGGTCTAACAAGCATTATTTTTATTCGAACTAAATACACGAGTGATTCGTCTAGCAAAAAGGTTAGCACCGATTATTTTAATTCTCCGAACTGGGCGAAGAAATAGAACTACGGTCACTCTCACTGCCATAGTTCTCTAACTTTAAAGAGCTCTTTCCTACGCCACTCATAAAGGATATACAATGCATGCTTCGTGAAAATGAACGCCACAAGCACGTCCATATTTCCTTACTAAAGACCCACGCTGGACACCAAGGAAAGGAAGAAGCAGATGAGCTTCCAAAAGAGGCCGCATGTAGCAGAGATGCTCAAATTGTGCCTATCATATTTCCAAAATCCCATCGCAAGAGAGAAGGCACTGCGGTACAACATTCACAGGATTAACAGGATGGAACTTCCCACCGAAGGAGAACCCATGTCTTTTACAACAAAGTTTCCACTGACAGCTTAATATCAGCACCATTCATAACCCGATAACCCGATTTGTTACAGGCCACGGTCCTTTTCCGAAATATTTCTGGAAAAGAGGATTTGTTTCCTCTAAGATCTGTGTGTGCGACGTGGCTGGGTCCCCAGACCATTATATAACATCTTGCCCACTCACAGAGGCGGGGCGCATGCGGCTGCCAGACTCTGAGGACTCATTTAATCGATTCTTTATCAAGCAGCCGGCCATCCTTAAATTAAAAAAAAAACATATCAAGAAAACTAGACTCATTATGATGGGACCTGTGTCACGCTGATTAGTGTACTCCAGTATATTGATTACACATCTGCATGCTGTTTATGTATTTAGTATCTGCATAAGTATTTAGTATCTGTGTAGTATCAAGCATCTACACCTGCATTAGTTTCTAATATCTGTGTAATAAAATGTAATATATATATATATATATAGTATAACATCCGCATATGTTGTAGAGTCCAGTAGATAAACTTCTGTATGAAAACTGGAATAGCAGGAAACTATACAAGATAAGGGTTAAAGTACCCTTTATTGGCTCTTTAAATTTTACATTGCGTCAACTCGACGCTAACAAACTTCTCCTCTGCTTGGGCGGTAAGTGAAAATCAAATAATGAAACTGAAATTTGAGGATATTAACAAATGATAGCACTAAACTACAGGGTTCAGTGAGATCCCGTAACTTAAACCCCCTTCAAAACTAGTGGCAGCAAATAAATGCAATCAAGCCACTTGAACCAGCAATAAGCAAACGTATCTACGACAGAGGTGGTGGCTAGAGCATAACTCCCTCTTTTGCCCTACAGAAACTGGGCTTTTAAATACTTCTTGCAAAGTAGAAATTTGCATTCCTTCACGCGCTCTACAACATTTAAATATTCTGGCACTGACAATTAGGGGAATGAGAGCTTATAGGAAAGTGTCTAAAATTAAATTTTAACTTGTTAGTTGAAATAAATATAAATCCCTAGTATATCTGTGAAGTATGTGTACTATATAGTGGTGCATCTAGTATCCGTGTATCTGCATAATGTCTGCACTAGTATTTAATACCTTTGTGTGCATTCGTATTTATTATCTGTGTAGTATATACTAGTGTATTTAGTGTCTATGTATCTGCATTATGTTTGTATTTGTATTTTTAATCTCTGTCAGCATTCGTATTTAGTATCTGTGTATGCATTCACATTTAGAATCTGTTTAGTATATAGTACTGTGTGTACCATCTGTGTATTTGCGTAATGTCTGCATTACTACTTAATATCTGCGTATCAGCTTAATGCCTGCATTACTATTTAGTATCTGCGTATCTTCTTAATATCTGCATTAGT